TTTTTGATACGGGGTTTACAAAACTGTAAGATAAAAAATCAACTGAAATGAAAAGAGATGCTACGAGATATGATGGAAAAGTTCCTGTTTGTTTTTTTTCTAGACCCGCATCTCAGAGACGAGGAGGAATACGAGTCGACTCGTAAACTGACAACTTTGCGTTCATGTTCAGGTCACAGAGAAACTGGGGAGTGATGAGCTCACTGGTGGATGCTGGGGCTGGTGGAGGGGTTGAAAGAGCAGAAGTGCTGACATATCCGAGGGGGATGAGGGGAATTCTGCAGCACAAAGGTGTGCATGAACCTCAAACTTATTAAATGAATGCAACCTCAGACCTCTCTGTGCACGTGCCTGCTTCACAACAGAACTAACATATACGAGCACATTCAAGGAGATAAAAATAAAATATTATACTGGCAGAAACAGAAGAAAGCATGCAGCGGTGTTTCTGGACTCATCTCCACTGAAGCTAAATCACACACACCTTTGAACGTGCACGTTCTCCCACTAGTGGGAATCTGGGCTGTCATTATTTTCCAGATCTTTCTATTTTTATTTTTTCACCCTTCCACCCATCTTCCTCACCCCTCTCCATCTCCTCCTCCTCACCCCTCATTCCTCCCCCTCCAGTCATAATAAGTGCAGCAGTGCGCCGTCTTGCTGTTGCAGCGTGGGACGGCTGTCTTCATTACTCTTCATTTGGAGCAGAGGAAGGATGGACAGCCATGTCATTCAACTGGATTAGTCTGCTCTGTTCTGCTTTATCAGGGAGGCATGCTCGCAGCATGTGAGCATCTGTGTGTGATAAAGGACAGGCTGTGTGTACTCGCGCGTTTGCATGCATGTCTAGGTATGTGTATGTTTGTGTGTGAAGCCATGATGAAGAGCAGCAGCCTGACATTAATGCTTTCACTGACATGATGAAAAGGGACTTCTTGCATGCAGAGTCGTCTCCGTCTGTGCCAGAAACCTCTTCACAAACACGCGATGTGTAAAAATGTAGCCTTGATACACTAGATTTCATACAGACTTCATCAGCACAAATGTACGACGGGCTGAGTGTGTTTGTGATCTGTCAGTTTGCATATACAGTGACTGAGAGTGAGGCAGCCGGTCAGGCAGTGAAAAAGAGTAATGAGAGGAAAACAGAGCTTGAATCCAGCCTAACTCTGTGTGGTTTGTCCTTGAGAGGCAAATATGGATGTAAATATTCATGCTTTCTCTTCCTTGCTCTGAGTTCCACCTTCAGACAGAAATGCTCCAGAACAACAATCAGATTTCTTTTCTCCTCATCTGCATCACTTTTCTGTCTTTTGTCCTTCAATCCTTCTGCAAAAGGTCAAATTAGGGTCATCAAGTTTTATTTTGAATTTGAACTTTCATTTGTTGCTTAAATGCTGTTTTATTTTCACTTTGAGTACTTTTATTTTGAAAGGTTTCTCTAGGGCAGGGCTCTCCATGTTACTGCTGTTACACCTTTAACAGGTGATGCATGTTGGCAGTCCTGAACCTCTGTATTGTCATTAGTAATGATTCATTGATGGTGCATTTCTATCTAGTCTTTATTCATCTTTGCACACATATGAATAGAATGAATCTAACATGCAGGTCTTTGGAAAAAAGACGATTTGAATCCCAAACCTTCTAACCGCTGCACCATCGTGTCAACAGTATACTAAATATATACAGACATACTGGACCTGGTCTTTTCCATTAAGTTAACAGAGTGAAGGAGCTGTGTTTCTGTCGATGAGCAGTGCGATGCATTGATCTTCTTATAGTGTGCCCACGTTTGGATCCAGTTTCTACAAAGTGTTTTGTAACGACACGCACTGGCCCCTTTAGAGACTCCCGACTCTCTTCAGTCTGAGCCAGGCTCTGTTTGCTCTCCTCCTTTTCCTCTGATGCCACGTTTCCCACAAGAATCGTTAGTCAGCATTGTTCTGCCAGAAACTCCAGGCACAGCCACATTTCAGCCATATTTGGCTGCAGGTTGTTTCAGCCAAACAAGCGGCTGATCAGTCAGTCAAACTCACATTAGTGTTGTCTGAGCACTGCTCGAGCGAGTGTGACCTTTGTACAGAGTTAACATGGTAAATGCCACTAATGCGCTTCAGGCTGCTGCGTGTTGTATTTCTAATCTGCTCTCTGGTTTTTGCATCATGCTGCATCTAAAAAAGAAAATATATCTGTAATTGATTACAAAGCCGAGTACCCATTCTGGGGCATGTTGAGCATCAGCACCATGGACAGAGCACCTCCTGCAGCATGATTTCATCACTTTTTCCTGCTCTTACTCATTATTAGACCAAACACTGCCCAAATGCCTTGTGTTTGCCTCATTCATCCTTTTCCTCAGAATGAAGCCTATAATTGTTCTATATATATCTCTAAAGGAACAGCTGTTAGTTTCTTTATCTCACAGAAATATCATGATGTAATTCAAGATTTCGTCAAGAATGTAGCTGTTATATTAGGGATGATGACAGATTAAACAAAAACCATTCGTCCATCCATCCATGTCCAGGATGCACAGAGTTAGAACTGCCCAGCCCTCCCACTTCCTGCCCACCTACTTTAGCTCCTCTGGGAGGCGCTCTCCAAAACAGCCAGGATGCTGACTGCACTCCAGCACAAACACAAGAAGCAAAGGCGCGAGTGCTCGGGTTATATGCAAGTATTAAATATTATCATATGCATAGCCTGTTTTGCATAAAAGAATTTTCATCATCTCTTTTTCGCCTAAATTCACATTTTATTTTTGTGACATTTCACAAGTTAACTTAAAATTCCCCCGACACATAAATGAAAACTCTGCCCCCCCTCCTGCTCCCTCCCCCGTTTCTCGCCGGAGTCTTGATTCATGTGCAGTCATCTTCAAACCATTTCTCCTAACACACACTTTTCTAAAATCATTTCTCCCTCCAGAACAGATTTGTGGGTTAATATTTTACATTTTTCCAGACAAGCAGGGGACTGACTGAGTTCATGTAGACTCATTAAACTCCAGAAACATATTGTCGAAAAACACCGCAAGGTGTTGTGTGACCTAATTTGAAGCTCATTCTGTAGTTAAAGAGAATCTCAGTGTGATCATTTCTCACATAGTTCAGTCTGCGAGCTGCTGCTGATGAACCGACAGAGAAGCTTTTATTTTGCAGGGACTCGGGAGAGCTGTTCAACATGACGGTGAGGATTCAGGGACATAAAAACTCATCCTTGTTTCTCCAGTGTAATATATGAGGCAGACACACACACACACACACACACACACACACACACACACACACACACACACACACACATGTATTTATATCCTTGTGGGGACATCTAATTGACATAATGCTTTCCCTAGCCCCTTACCCCAAACCTAACCATAACCTGTAACCCTGACACTGAAACCACATTTATAGGTAAACTTCCATCTTTGGTCCCCACAAAGCTATGAATACACGCTCACACAGGTACTTCTCTCCGAGTCTTGTTTGCTCACGGATCATCTTCACAGCATCTCTCCTAGGAGGATCTTGGCATCTTTGTTCACTTATATAAAAAACTGCTGTGGAATACATTAAGCCACTGATATGGCCGTGTTCTGTTTTCAGTGAGATGAATGTGGAGCATTTGAACTTATAGATCCGTGTGTTTAAGTATTCATACAGCTGCTGCAAGTGACCTGATTGCAAATGAAGCCAGGAGAGGTAAGAGAAAGCAGACAGCATGGAGAGGCAGCAGATGATTAGACCGGCTCTCACGCTGGGTGCTGCTGGGATTCGGGTTTTGTCTTTATATGAAATATGAGTTCAGTTCTTCTCACTGTTAGTCATCCTGTCAACTTAAAGGTTCAGAGTGAACGTTCCCATCCGAGGGTGTCAGATAATGCTGTTTGTGCCTCAGCGCACCAACATCAGAGAGATTATGGTGCTACTCTACAGAGTCTGTCAGAGTTCAGAGGCGGGAGGAGCGCTGCTGTCAGAACGCCACGGTTCACGCGCCGTTTGGACCTTTTTGTTTTGCGCTTGGTTTTGCTTTCGTCCAGCTTCGGTTTAATCACTACAAACAACTTTGTTAGATTTGGTGGACGCACCTCTTCACAACAGTAATCCCACATGCTGGAAATTGAAGAGTGGGGGGGGGGGGTCACCGTAGTGTCCCCACCCCCACCGAGACACGCCAACAGCTTGAGAATAAAGCATCGTTTCATGTGTTGGGAATGGGAACAGCAACATTGCACCACCAGACCGGAGCACCGTCCCGTCAGAGTTTCCCACAATGCTCAGCTGCTGAAGAAGCTATTACGGCATCTTTCCCGCACAATATAAAGCACCTTGAGGCAACTGTTGTTTTGATTTGCAGTTATATAAATACAATTGCATTGAAAACAGTGAGACATTGACTGGTTTCACACATTTCCACTGAACAAAGTCTTGCATCAGCATTGCACCAGAAAACTGTTGGTCCTGAAGTTTGAACCACCGATGTTAGCAGATTCTGATTTGCAGATGCTGCCGACAGATTCTGATTGGCACGATCCAGCGTCCTCGTCTCGGTTCCCCTCTTACCTCACGTTTGTGTCTTTGTCACGCTCGATGTCTCCTCGAACAGACAGGAAGCCAGAGAGGTCCGATTGCAGGGGAACTCCTCCCCTGTACATTTTAAAGACTTTTGACAGCAAAGAGCAGCTAAATGTGCAAACTGCAACATCACAGGAGGCCGCCAAAAATACTAAACACACCTTCAGATGTTTGAGGTGGATTCTTGCTCACAGCTGTGGTGAAGATGAAAGCCCCTTTTTATTGTATTTACAGTTAAGTCTGAGCAGAAAGGAGCCCTAACAGGATATCATGACTCCTTATTTCTCACTGACACAGCGTCACAGTGCTTTACAGCCACGCTGCAGTTAGCAGGAGCTGCACTCAGAGGGCAGTCATGGTTAATGGGAGACAGAGGAGGATGACAGAAGAATGAACATGTGTGATGGGAGATGAGGTCAATCTTACCTCTTCTCGTATTCTCTTCACTGTTTCTCCTTTCTGTGGAGAGACACAGGAAGGACAGTCATCTCCGAGTGTACCGAGTCCTTAATGAAGATGTATTAGACAAGTATCTGAGCAACACGATCAAATACATACAAGATCATTTTCCAGTGTTTTTAAATCGTTGAGGAGTAAGCTACTGCTACTGAAAGACTGACTGAAAAATCCAGGTGAGGAAAACGAATCAGCGACGCTCGCTGCCTACTAATCAACAGCCAGCGGGATGCCCCCGAGCAGCTTCACTGGTGGAGCTCCTCAGTGAGCTAGGCGGCTAACAGGTATGACAGTGCGATGCTGTGAGTGTGACACACGTTTGCTAATTCGCTCAGGAAAAACATCGGCGCGATAAACAAACGGGGCTAACACGGATCACATCTGCGCTCTGAGCTGCGTAACATTTATCTCTGCCGACACGCGTCCTCATTGGCCGAGCCTGCCCAAACCAGTCAGCCTGGCAGGCTCGTTTAATGCTAGCAGGAGCCCCGGAGAGCAGCTCCTGCACCGTGACTACAGACTGGCACGATCCAACTAGAACCATCATGTAATTTAATGCCATCTTTGTGTCACAGTTAATAGGCCGCATACTGGAAGTGACTGGGTGGGTGGGGGGGTGAAGGATATCAGCCCCAATTGTGGGTTAGCGAATGTGCCGTGGGGGCCAGCGGTCATTATCGCGCCTCGCTCAGCTGTGATATACTTGGATAAAAATCCTACTGGGCTTTATTTAACACGTCCACGCTTAAACGGGCTCGCTTCCCCTGAGAGCAGCGCCTTTTCAGTAAGTACAGACTCGAATGACACGGCCTGACTGGAAATGTTACACACTGTTAATGCACATTTCACGGCAACTTCATATCATGTAGAAGGATTACGCCCAATGTTATCACGACAGGCGTGCAAATTTCAGAAAACTAAAGCCTGAAGTTGGCTCTGATGTTGGTTTTAGAGGATTTCTAATGTTTTTTAATTTCACTTAAAAGTTCATTTTAATGACTTTTTCACAGATTGAGTGATTTTTACTTCCTGGCAGATCAGATTTTTTCATACTGGGTAACACGATGATAGAAGGGAATGTTAGCTCACCTTTCCGATGATGCTTCCTACTTCCTGCAGAGAAAAAAACAAAACACAAACAAGAAAATCATTTCCTCAAATTTAAAAACAAGCAGACTCGTGTAGCCAATCAAACTTCACGTTTTGAACATGCATGCATACCTGCTTCAGGCGCAGCAGCATGACAGCGCTGAGATATGTTTATGCGCCAACATTTAATCGTGTTGACATTTTCATTTTCATAAAACATGAAGCATTTTTTTCTTTTGTGTCACCAGCTTCACATAGTTTACATAACACGAGCTCTAATAACACGAGCTCTAACAGGAGGTCAGCGGGGCGACCGTGTGCAGGAGGCGTTTGGGACGACAAGAGCCACGTGAAAGCAACAGTGTTCTCAGCAAGTGTGGAAGAGACATTTTAAAGAGTATAGAGTGAAGGTTTGGTAATCGTGGACTGTTCTTCTGGGGAACACGGGACGAGAGGAACGCTCTCAGGTTTCTGTGCTTTCTAAACATGGAGTCCAGAACACAGAGCAACGGCTGCGATCTGATGATTGAAGTTATGAAACCTTTGTTCATTCTGCCGTGTTGAATAGTGAACTTCAGGGAAACTTGGTGACTTCGGACAGGCTTACTACTTCCTGTTGGGATTCTCCGTGGCCGGGAGAAGAGAATTGACCTGGCCAGACAATTATGGTTTCCCTTTTCCCCAAATTCAGTTGTAGTTACTCAACTTGCTGGTTTAAAGATCGGTGAAGTGTTTTAATTTGATTGAGCTGCATGCTTCTTAAGTGCTTAAATAAATATCTTGCCTGGATTTAAAGACAAAACTGTGGAAACTGGCTTTTGAATTCTTCATGTGCAGCACGGTGGTTAGCACTGCTGCCGCACAGCACGAAGGTCCAGAGCTCATTTCCTCATTTCCTCTGTGAGTGTGTGGGGATTCAGTCTGCGCTGGCCTCGTCCTCACCTGATCCTGCTTCCCCAGAAAATAATATTCTGTTTATTATGTTGGCAGTTTTTTCTCTATAAGTTAAATTTGGGAGCCTTTTAAAGTTTCTGAATCGTTTCCATCTGAGATATGATGTTATTATAACGTAATTATTTATTGATGTCATGTTCTTTCTCTGGCTGCTAGCAGCACAATAACCTGCAATCTCCTTTATTTCTCTGTAATTAACACGAGTAACAGTCTTGCTCACCTTTCCATGCATGAGGAGGCGCAGTGTGAGCGTGACTCCCATGGCGCCGTCTCCAAACTCCTGTTCACAGCTCATGGTAGAGGAGGTGGTGGTGTGGTGGGTGAAGGTGTGGGTGGACTCTGCTGCTGGGAGACGCATGAAGGTCTGAGGCCCCGAGGCGTATGGAGCTCTACAGAACACCACAGAGAACCCTTTGGAGAACCCAGAAAGGAACCCTCAGAGAGCCCTGGAGCTGCGAGAGGGGGAAGGGGAGGTCGAGGTTTGGGGTCGGACGGAGGGGCTGTACGGGCGGAGCTGGCGTCGGGGTGGGATCTATCCTTACTCCGGTTTCTGTGGAAAGAAAGACAAGAAAGTGATGTTTGAGTTTGTGACTGTTTCTACTTCACATCCCCTCAAAGTTAATGTCTGTATTTAGACCCGATGAGCCTAAAACCAGCATGTTGGGATCAGTCTGCTTTTTTGTAAGCCTCTCATAATCAGTATTTGCTGAGAACAGCCTTTATTGACTTTTTATTATTCTCTCACTCTGATGACTGTATCCAGAGCGTCTTACTAAACAGAGTGCAACAGGAAACAAGTCATTTCAGCGCGTAAGAGCTGCTGTAATGGGTGTTGATAGATATGAGTCAGCAGCTACAGATGCAGAAATTCAGAGAAAAACACACAACAACAAAGGGAGCCTACGACCATGCAGCACTGTGTTAAACAGGATTTCCTCGAGAGGCTTCAAACTGAACTTCTTTGTCATTTCAGGCACACTTTTAACCCCAAATCCTGTTTTTAAAGCAATTTCCACAGATGTAGGAAAACCTAAAATAGAGTGATAAATTGGGGCGTTTCTCTTCTTAGCTTAGTTTGACTCAGGTGCTGGACGCTCCACGTCACCTTCTTTGGTCCCCACAACAGATTATCCATCTGATCCTCCTCTATGACCAACCCTCTGCACGCCCTGCTGCATGCTGATGTCCACATCTACTCCTGACACAGCACAGGATCACCTGAGTTAGTGCACAGCAATACTATAGCAATGCAACATCCATATTTTATTACATAAATTAAAACACTATGAACAATAGGGCTCCATCCTGAGATACCCGTCCAACGCCGCACACACTCACTTTACTAAACTACTGCTTTACTCAGATGGCTCAGTCACATGGGTAAGAACAGGACAGACCTCCCTGCATCGACAAAAAGTTCTTTCACATTCTGCAGCTTGTCACGACTCCAGGGTGTTGCACACTCATGACTTTTCACTGCAAGGCGACTGCACAGGTTCTTCTTTCTTCTTTGATGGACTGACTACAGTCACTCTCAGACAGACTGTCGAACATTCGTGAACAACTGCCGTCTAATTTATAAATGCAGACAGATTTCCTCATATCAAGAGTCAGTCAATGAGCAACACTCGAGGGTTCTGGTTATATTCCTACAGAACAGAAGGGTCGCTGAGACCAAACAGAATATTTAAATGTGAATTTCTGTCTTTCCTTTTGCATTAAAAGAATCTGAAGTGAGACAATTCTGTCAACATCTGTTTCATCCAATAATCTCAATTTTAACTTTGACATAATTTGCAGATAAACAGTCAACATTTACCATGTTAAAACGTCCTTTTATTGACCTCGTTATGCTAACCAGTACTTTTACAGAATAATTTAACTATTTATATTATTAACTGATGATAAAGGTTGCTGTAAAAATAAAAGTAGGTTGCAGTATTAAAAGTAAAGGTCAGAGTGTGAGGGCAGCGACTTTAAATCTTCCAACAAACGCTGTTACGCTCACGCTGTCGGAGCACAGCGCCGAGTGTGGCCCTGCAGCCACGAGGCCAACAAGGCGTTTCACTGATTCCACATCCTCAGCAGCACGGCGGGAGCGAGCCGGCTCCGGTGCCGTGCGAAGTGTGGAAATTAACATAATTTCTCAAGTGTCAGAAGCTGGTCAACAAGTCTGTGCTGTAATTTAAAAATTAATTGGGAACTCTGTTTAAAAAAAGCTTCGGGGGCTGAATTAAATAAGCTTCTGGCCGTGGAAGCGCCACTCAAGCGTGATGATACTTAAGCGTTTCCTTTTAACACAAAACTGAAAAGAAAACAGAGAAAGAGAGACCTCCTCCACGCCTGCATTCGCCTCGTTGTATTCAGATACGCAACTATGCGTGCTGCACACATGACTGCATGTACATGCTGCACTTTGATCATTTTTGAGTAAACATGTATGTTTTTTTAGCAGATTTTGCTGTTTGTGTCTGGAGAGCTCACACACACACACTCAGGCATCTGTCACTATGCCAACCAGCACTGTAGGTAACCCGAGGTATGCAGACGAATAAAAAGGTGCGTATAAATGATCGACATATGTTTGTGTGCGTGTGCGTGTGCTGATGGCTCGTTGTGCAGTTTAAAGTGTTTCTATGCAAACAGCGAGCCTCACGTCTCCATCTGCACGTCTGCATCCCCCACTCTCATAAAAAATACACACTCTGAGCCAAAGTAGGTCACAAATGTAATGCAGGCTGTTTGGCATGCAAAGCAAGCAGCATCTCATGACAATGCAACACTCATCCACACACACACACGCACACACGCACACTTGAGAAACAAATCAGAGGACAGAGGTGCTGAGAGAGAAAACGGTTAAAATAGTAGCAAGTGGCAGAAGCAGGTGGGGGAGGGGAGAAATGGCAGGAGACGGCTTACACGACCTCCCGGGGAGCGAGAAGAGTGGCTGTCAAAACATCGTTTACACATGAATTCAGTCATTGGCGGCACAGGTCGAGTGTTTGCTTATCTGCGCATCCATTAAAACCTCTGTGTGGAAATTGTGCGTATTGTTGTGCAGCGTCGCGGATAGGCCGGGCACGCGTGTGGACTGGAGTGTGCAGCTGCATGAGTGCATGCATTTGAGAGGGCGGATTTAGTGTTTTATTTTCCTCTGAACAGTGTGTGTGTGTGTGTGTGTGTGTGTGTGTGTGTGTGAGAGAGAGAGAGAGAGAGAGAGATGAAGAACACAGAACATATGAATTATTAAAGTCTTTTCAGATGCTTCAGTACCGGGTTAAAACCAGGCCTACCCATCCCCCTCCGAGTCATGTTTGCCCCCCCCCCCCACACACACACACACTCGGGGAATAAGCCATGAATCAGCCATGCATGAGCTCAGAACTGAGAGAGTGTGTGTATGATTTTACTTGTTTTGCTGACATTGTGGGGACGATGGTCACACAGTAACCTTTTAGGGACTCAACTCTGAGTTTAACCGGATGTCCAGGAGGAAAATTGTTCATATTTATTTTCTGTGGCAGAGTATATGCTGTACTTTATCTCTATGAAACTACAGGACACCGAATACACAGATTTCCTTAAATATAGTGCTGGGTGATACTGCGTAGATGCATTCATTAGGGATGTTACACAGCACAAGGATGTTATGCCTTCATACGGTTTAAAAAATAAGTGTCAGTTTAATTCCTTCTCTGCTTTTCTATTTGTATTTTTATTTATTGATGATCCATTCATTGGCACCAGCCTGGACTGCAGCAGCTGCCAGAAACAAGCACCGACACACAAACAGATTCTCCAAGCTGCAAACAGGAAGGAGCAAGCAGCAAAGTAGTGACCAGCATCCATGGAATGAACTCCTGTGAGCAAAATATCTGCTAGCAAAGCGAGTGAGCATGTACCAGTTTAAACTACTGTCAATGAAACTGCTGACTGGTGTGAGAAGAATAGCAAATAAATACATGCAGGCATAACTACGACAAAACATCAACTTTGTTTGTGGCAGTGACTTTAAACTCTTTAAACACAAGAGCTTGTTGGTTTGGGTTTCCACCAAATGTTGTTACATCATTATTATAAATATATAATCAATAAAGACGTAACGACAACGTCAATGCAGCAGTAACATCTAAAAACAGCATATTTGAGTAAAAAACACAGGAAACATATTTTGGTCCTTTAAGTAGATTCATTTGATAACGTGTCTTTTACCTGTAACCCTGTAAATGCAGGACTGTCACATTTACAGTGAGCTACTGCTTCTTTTACTTAAACGGTCCTGTTATCTCCATTTTCAGCATCATAAGAGGAACTCTGCCTCACTGCCAACATCATCTTTTAACTCACCGATAGACTCGTTTTATCGTAGCGTATCGTATGAGCTTTAAGGCTACCACACCTGTATGCCAAACGTCTCGTGGCTCACAAACTACAAGTGGGTGGAGCCTCTTTGCTCACAGCCGGAGTTGTACACCCGAAATGATCACATTTATGAAAATCCATGGCTGTGACGTCACACATGTATAAAGTGTGAGTCTGAGCGTTTAAAGAGTTTCCAGCTACAAACACAAACACGAGCATGCGGCGCTGGAGCAGGAGACACAGCAGGAAACAAAGGACTGAACAGCATGTGGATACAACAACTGTCCAAAATAAATAACACTGTGAAAGTAGATCTCTTGGTAAATGTGAAAGACAAAAATCACATGATTGATGGCGAGCGATGATGATGGTCAGTCACACGCATCCTTTTGTACATCCTGTCGTAATGTGAGAGGAGGAAGAAGATTTTGCTCTGCTTTCTTCCTCCGTTACACAAACACAGCCTCCACAGCCGGCGCGCCCTGCAGTGCTGCTGAACTTTGGCCTTGTAGACACACAGTTTGTGCTGCAGCTACGATAGCTGGAGCTCTGCAATCACAGAGCAAAGTAATAATTTTGATTAGTGTGTTTGTTCCTATTGTGGAACTGATGCCGAAATGCAACAATCTGTCTTTATATGCTTTTCAAGACAAAGAAGCCAGACACAGAAACGGGCCAAGAGATTTGTTTGGAAGGACAAACTAAAAGATGGGTGCTTGAAATACATAACAAAATGTTTACTGCAACTTTAATTGTACTTATATCAGGAAAAAATGTATTTGCTGTGTGAAACATGTTCAAGTGTGCTGAGAATGTGTTTATACTTTTATTTATATTCGAGATTAACGACTATGTTTCAAAAATAAATCCATTTGTATCCTGATAAACCCACTTTGTTATTACTTAAACAGAGTTGTAAGACACGACAACCCGCTGAAAATATCAAAACACACAAAACAAGACGGCAGAGTCATAAAGCCGCTCAAACAGAACGCACATTAACAACAGATTTAAAATGATTACATTTACAGGGATTAGTTACTCTAATGGTCGCTGCTGATTGATCCACTCGAGTGGGGTTCAGGAATTAAAAGCCAGTTTTCCAGCTTCAGTATTTATGGGATGACTTTGAAGGATGAAGGAAAACCGTTTCAGGCCTTTTTGACTTGATCTGCATTAAAA